TTCATAAAAACCTCATAGAGAAAAGACTCGAACAGTCCAAAAGGGCAATTGAATGGAGCTGCATGGGCTCCTAAGTACTGATTTCGTTCTACATTTATTTGCAGTTTAGCTGGATGAGGCACTAGGGTTGAAAAATGGGCAACTTCTATTTCAAACCATGTTGTCCAAACTAAAGGAGGAAGTATTATGATCTGAAGGAACCAAATCTGACCTTTTGGACCACGGCTACAGAAGGTTTAGATTTAGCACCAGGACATCCCACAGTAGAAAACCATGAGCACAGTGACTAACCTTGACTGTTCTGAGCTAAAATCTGTTAAAGTTTGTGAGCAAGAGACGTCCTTGAATAGCTTGTGGTAGAGCAGGTAAATATTAAAAAAGTTAGTACTTCAATACTGACAAAAAACCCCAAAAAACTGAATGATGTATCTTCATCAAATAAATAGTGTTGCGCCAATGCCATTTTTTGGCCCCGATACCGATACCATAATAATGTAAAATAACTGCCATCATGGCTTTGTCAAGCTGCTGCCTACCTTTGAGAAGCAGGAAAAAATGTAATACAAAGTGAATCCAGTACAACGTTTTAATAAAAAGTTCTACTGGATAATAAAAATAAAAAGTTTTATTGCCTACCTGGAATGGGTGACAATAGTTGAATAAACTTAAGGCTCTCAAAATGGTATCGGTGCACTATTTGTTGGTACTCGCCGATACCGATACCACCATTTTAGGGCAGTATCGGGGCCCCGTCCGATACTGGTATCGGTGCAACACTACAAATAAATCCTTTAAATGATGTCTTACATTCACTATGCAGGCTTGAACAGGTTATGCTTTATGTCATGTTAAAGAAAAGGTTGCAAAATAGTTTAAAATGACACCCCAACATGTCTCTGACAGGGTATGTGCATCTCGGGTGCATAAAACTCAATATATTCAAAGTTCTTTAAATGAACAGATTTTTCTTTAAACCTTGAGGTAGAGAAATGAAGGGACCAAAACACACAAGTGAATTAAATCCTGTCCTTTGCTTAGTTTACATGTGAACGTTGTTCTCCATCTTACGCTCAGATACACACTTAAAGCGTTCCTCCTGTTTTATATCTCTTGCATCCTTCATAATTCCTCATCTCGTCTTCTCATGCATACGAAGCCTGCAAACAGCACATTGGATTTCACACATAAGAATCCAGATCAAGGTACACATATCATGTTTGGACTGGTACTTTAAGCTATTGCAGATTATAGAGTAGTTTAACTACCACCTTTGTAGCACAAGTAAGGCCTTTGAAGCCTCGCCGACAGTGGCAGTGGTCGGGTAATACACACCGGCCTCCGTTCAGGCAGCGCCGTTTACAGATCGCTGGAGAGAAACAAGATTAATACAGTTAGGGAAAATAAAATAGTGTGGTAAGAAACTAAGGCAGGACACGCAATAAGGAACTTGAAATAAATCAAAATTATCTGCAAAAGCATTTTGCAGGAATCTCAAAACAAAGAGACTCGTAGTAATTCCTTGCTTTTTACCTACATAGTGTAACACTGAAGATCAGTTAATGCTGACCAAACCATATAAGCTAAAGGGACATTTTTTGTTGTAGTCCTATTTTTATATAGCCACATGATTAATTATACTTATTTATTACACGGAAACCTAGAATTACAAAATACAAATGTCACAGTTTTAGTAAATTCATAAAAACAAATAGAATTCTGTAATATTTTGTTGAAGCATCTTAAGAATTAATTGCTGCTTCAAGCCTAGCCCACATGATTTTTGGTGTTTTCTCTCTGTACTTTGATTTAATAAAATTCAATAACATTTTTTTTTTTATCCCAGAGGAAAATTACATCTTTTAACTCTAATTGGAGTTTCTTCAGTGAGTTTTTTTTAAATGGTAAAGGTTGTAGGCAGGATGGATCTTCTGTAGTGGTCTGTGTAACAGCGGCTCTGGAGAAACCTCTGACTGAAGACAATGTTGTTGGAGGCTCAGGATTGTACATTAAGTTCTTTGTTTATTAATAATTCTTCTATGTAAATTGCTTGTAGTCGAGTTCCTAGAATGGAGCTTCTTTAAGTTCTTTGGGTTTTTGTTCTGTTGCTGTTACCCCAGCAGATGATGGCAGAACAAATCACTCTCTCCACAACAAAGTTTTTGAAGACAAGCAGCATCTTGTTTCTTTCAGAAGTACAGTCCACTCCTCACCATTAAAATCACACTCCACAGCTCTGCCAGGTTGTGAGGAAGGTTATGGTGGACAGCAGTTTTCACCTGGATTCAGACTAAAGGGCTTTGGATTAGCCACTAATACATGTTCAAAGACTGCTTCTTTTGTTGCCAAATGCAGGGAGGACTTAACAAGCAAGCCCTCTAACATCATGGTGTGGTTTCTGCTCTGGTATAACCTGAACTTAAAGACATTGTGTTTTATCCCAAATCCTGTTTGGTCCTTTTCCAACAAATGAGCTGTTATCATTTTGCAGGAACATATCAAAGAAACAGAACTGATCAGAGCACCTCTGAATATTTATGTACACAACTACTCTTTTTCTTAATAATCTTCATATATTTGTAACTAACCTTTCCATTTCATCATTAAAAGGATTTTGTGCAATGAACCTCAGGGAGTAAATTAATACGGGTTTTTCTGTTACAGTAAATAGAGTGTAAAAAAGTAAAACAACTCAGAGTTACTCTATAGGGGTAGAAAATTAAAAACCAGCAGGGTTAGAATAAAGAAAATCGTAAAGGTCAGGAGGCATTTTTAAATGTAATCTTTACTTTAAAGATTATATTACTTTAAACAGAATTTAACTCTGAAATAAAATTAGGTATATTCATGCATCCATGTCATACATTGACTTTCTAACTAGAAAAAGAAAATTTTTCCATTTTAAAATCTAAAGTGTTTTTTTGAAGTAGAGAACAACAATCTTTCTATTTGGTATATAGACAATTTCCTGATTCACATATTTTATAAAACACCTAAACTGATCGTTTGTTATTGTTTTCTCTTTTTTATGGCTAAAGAGAGCAGTGGGCTTTAGGCTCCCTGCAAGGCTTTAAACCTGGGTTTGAATGGAGACTAAGCATTTTCAAGCCCATATCAAGGTGCTCATTCTGAGCCTGGATCCATATTTAATTTTGATTGTGTTCATGGTGGAGAATCCTGCTTCACAGCAGCCGGTTGAGCCAAACATACTCTAAATGTGCAGGGTCATCTTTGAGCACGCATTTTCAATTTTCTTTCACCAGTTCACCACAGTTCTTCCAGCAGTCCACAATTTCACTTTTTCCCATCGTCTTCTCCTTCTTTCCCATCGCCCGGCTTGCCACAGGTTTGCCTGCTGTGTCTAAAAGCAGCTTGCAGCAGCAGCCCAGGCTGACTCAGCTCATTGGCTAATTTGTAGCATGTGCAGCCCGGTCCTGGGCGTTCCAGAGGGCTTTACCGTACAAACAGGAGAAGCGGTGCAAGTGAAATTAGACACTGCTGTCAGACAACATGCGGTAATTTATAAATGTTTTAAATCAGGTTGGATCAGGATTAGCCAGCAGGTGGGTCCGGATCCGGACCGCGGTCCACTAATCCGTGTCCTTTGCTCTAGAAGGTGGAAGCACTGTACATGTGTGATTTACAGACTCACGTGTTTGACAGTGCAGACCTTCCCAGCCCGAAGGACAATGACACGTGTTTGGCCAGACGCACTCACCGCCATTTTTACACTTTTGCAAACAAACAGCTGCAACAAAAACAGAGACAGGAAGAAATTATTTTAAAGACTTTGGCTACTAATGGATTTAAAAAAAAAAGGTTAAGTTTGGCTTTACAGAAATAGTACATGTAGAAGCTATGATGTCCTATGAAGTGGCAGGCCAGGTAGATAAAATAAACAACATAGTTTAGTTGAAAGATTAAAATAAACAAATAAGATTCACAAATGAGTTAAAAAAGATCTGTCAAATGGAAATGCAGGAGAAAAATTATTATTAAATACGTTTTCAGATAAACCTTATGTGTGCAAAGATTGTATGTTTTTTTTGGATAACTTTTATTTGAGCTGTTTAGTGCACTAATGAGTAGTGCTAATATTAAATACAATAAGGGTGAATTTGAAGAAGGGAAGAATCAAGCTTACATCTAACTCAGAGCAGATATTTATACAGCGGAAACACTTTCAGTACTGAGGAGGAATAACATATTTTTAATCTTTGAATATAATGATCAAATCCATGTATGCATCAGTAAATCCCAAACCAAAAAACAAAGCTGTTATTGTTACTGTTGTTGTTTTCCACAATTGCATGTTTATGTTTCAAAGCAGAGTTTTGCACAATTACAGTAAAATGTTTACGTGCACCGCTGGACTATTTTTGTAATTTTTCTATTTGTTATTGTGAGGCTCTAAATACATTTGTGGGGCCTGTTTCAATAAGGAAGTTCAACCAACTCTGAGTTAAAACTTGAACTCTGAGTTGACTTATCCTGAGATTGGAAACTCTGAGTTTTGGGTTTCAGAACAGCTGAAATGAGTTAGTTCAATCAACTCTAAATTGACTGGCTCTGAGTTAAGCGCGTGCACCACAACTATAAAAAGCCATTATCAATGGAGCACAGATATTACGAGTTACCATGGCAACAGCCACAAAAAAAGGTGTGCATATTTCTCACCAGCAGAACTGGATGTGCTTATGCAAGCATATGCAGAATTTAAACATGTATTTAAAAAAAAAAAAGCAACACGGCTGCAGCGGCGAAGGAGAGAGAGTTAGCTTGGGTGAAAATAGCTGCTCTAGTCAATGTGTAAGTTTACATTTTAATTACTTTTATACAGTGTTGGGTGTAATGAATTAAGTTACTTAAGTCATATAAATACTGTAATTAAATTAAAGACTATAAAACAATAGTGGATTTAATATCAAATTTTAAAAGGTATATTTTGATTTGAACTTTCTCCCTCTAGTTACACACTTTGGTCAATTTATATTGTTTATTTGAAAGCATTAGAAGTGCAGTTTCTTGTCTCTCCTTGTATTGTTCAAGTGGTTGAGGTTGATTTGGGATTTAGAAAGTAATTAATAAGTAAGTAAAACAAATTAGTAAGTAGACCAATACTTTCTAGAGACAGTAATTAATACATTAATCTAATTAGACTTGTTGAAGATAAAATTTGTAGTTAGTAATTAAGAACTATTTTAGAGTAACTTACCCAACTGTTATAATATCAGAGGTGAAACTGGAAGAACAGTATTTTATTAAACCTAATTTAGTTTTCATGGATAGGTGCAATCCTGCAGGCATCAAAAGAACAAGGCAGCAGCTGAAAATGAAATATAAAAACATACTTCAAGCAGGTAAGCCTTGAGCACATCATGTGAGTAGAGTAGCTACCTGGCTTTACAAACAGGATCATCCATAAAAGGACATGTCATTTCATTCCCTTTGATGCGCTCTACGTGACTGAAATGTGTGCAATGAATACTGTATGTCCCCAAAGAATCAATGAGGTGTTTAAACACCACTTCCTCTTTAAAAAAGGGGAGGAGACCAAAATAAACTCTGGATTTTCTGAAGAAAACCTGCTCCCGACCAGGTTAGGTTCACAGAGTAAATTGCCATGGTAACTGACTCTGAGTATAAGTTACCTCTCTTTCAGAAACGGGCTTGACTTACTCTGCTTTCTCAGGTTTAACTTACCTCCCTTTCTGAAACAGAAAACCCAGAGTTTCCCTCATTTCAGGGTTAACAAACTCAGAGTTTCCCTCATTTCAGGGTTAACAAACTCAGAGTTTTCACTTAACCTCCTTTCTGAAACAGGCCCGTGGTACACTATATTGCCAAAAGTATTTGCTCACCTGCCTTGACTCACATATGAGCTTAAGTGACATCCCGTTCCTAATCCATAGGGTTCAATATGACGTCGGTCCACCCTTTGCAGCTAGAACAGCTTCAACTCTTCTGGGAAGGCTGTCCACAAGGTTTAGGAGTGTGTTTATGGGAATTTTTGACCATTCTTCCAGAAGCGCATTTGTGAGGTCGCACACTGATGTTGGACGAGAAGGCCTGGCTCTCAGTCTCCGCTCTAATTCATCCCAAAGGTGTTCTATCGGGTTGAGGTCAGGACTCTGTGCAGGCCAGTCAAGTTCATCCACACCAGACTCTGTCATCCATGTCTTTATGGACCTTGCTTTGTGCACTGGTGCACAGTCATGTTGGAAGAGGAAGGGGCCAGCTCCAAACTGTTCCCACAAAGTTGGGAGCATGGAATTGTCCAAAATGTCTTGGTATGCTGAAGCATTCAGAGTTCCTTTCACTGGAACTAAGGGGCCAAGCCCAGCTCCTGAAAAACAACCCCACACCATAATCCCCCCTCCACCAAACTTTACACTTGGCACAATGCAGTCAGACAAGTACCGTTCTCCTGGCAACCGCCAAACCCAGACCCGTCCATCAGATTGCCAGATGGAGAAGCGCGATTCGTCACTCCAGAGAACGCGTCTCCACTGCTCTAGAGTCCAGTGGCGGCGTGCTTTACACCACCGCATCCGACGCTTTGCATTGCACTTGGTGATGTATGGCTTGGATGCAGCTGCTCGACCATGGAAACCCATTCCATGAAGCTCTCTGCGCACTGTTCTTGAGCTAATCTGAAGGCCACATGAAGTTTGGAGGTCTGTAGTGATTGACTCTGCAGAAAGTTGGCGACCTCTTCGCACTATGCGCGTCAGCATCCGCTGACCCCGCTCCGTCAGTTTACGTGGCCTACCACTTCGTGGCTGAGTTGCTGTCGTTCCCAAACACTTCCATTTTCTTATAATACAGCTGACAGTTGACTGTGGAATATTTAGGAGCGAGGAAATTTCACGACTGGATTTGTTGCACAGGTGGCATCCTATCACAGTTCCACGCTGGAATTCACTGAGCTCCTGAGAGCGACCCATTCTTTCACAAATGTTTGTAAAAACAGTCTGCATGCCTAGGTGCTTGAATTTATACACCTGTGGCCATGGAAGTGATTGGAACACCTGATTCCAATAATTTGGATGGGTGAGCAAATACTTTTGGCAATATAGTGTATTTGCAGCTAAAAATACAATGACAAATTTTTAAATATTTCATTTTACTCTGTTCACCCAGAACTAGAACCAATCATAGAGAGGCAGCATTCAGCTCCTATGCTCCACTTATTTGGAACAAATTTCCAGAAGAAAGGAAAAGTGCTGAAAGCCTGAGTTCTATAAATCGAAGATAAAAACCCATTTGTTTTTGGTCCTAATTTTTTATTTGCTTTACTACCTGCTTTTATGTTCTTTCCATGTTATTGTTAAATTATTGAAAAGCATATTGAATTTTCTTTGCACAGAATTATGCTCTGTATATATAAACAAAAAGGGTAATAATGAAAAGTCAAAGTTGAAGGAGAAACCAGAAGCCAGCAGCTGTGTTTTATTGTTTCCAGCATGATTCTTCTTAAGGTTTCTGTTAATATTAATGCAAAGTGCTTTACTTCAGTGACACATGCTGGTAGTTAGGGCTAAAAAAATTAAATGCACTGTTTACAATTATCATTTTTAAAAATGCAGCGGTTTAATGTTTTTTATCTGTATTGCAATGAGGCAAATAAAGTAGGAGGAAATTATAATATTTTTCACGCATGACAACTGAAAAATTATTGCAGATCAAACTCCAACCTGTTCAAATGAAAGATATATTTGTATTGATTCAGAATGAATGGTCAGGTCACTCACGCATGTTACACCTCTTCCCCCTCCAGCCTGAAGCACAGGAGCAGGTGTTCGGTCCGACACACTTGCCTCCATTCATGCACATCGGCTCACAAACACCTGGAACAAACATGTCTTTAAAAAACTTTACTTTTATAATTAACCAAGCCACAAACTCCTCTAATAAAGTAGTGTATTTGTTTGATTATTAAAGGTCTTTCATAGTTTTCCTGGGCTGCTTTCTGAATAAATGCTATTCCAAGTATTTGAACCTCAGTATGATGATATATTGTGGAGTGTCATTTTCAAACTGTTTACAGACTTTTAAAGATTGCAGAAAGTTTGATGTCTTTTGGAAATTATGCAGAAATAAGATATGATTCCAGACCTTTGCACAGAACTGAATTTTAACGATATGTTGAATCCAAACCCAATCATTCACTCACTTTTTTGGCACCTTTTCCCTGTGTAGCCTTCAGAGCAGGAGCAAATGTTGTTCCTTTTACACTGACCTCCGTTCTTACAGGGTGGATTGCAAACAGCTGAAAACATAAACGTTGAACCTCTCAAACATGGAGTCTATACATTTATTATTTTTTTTTTTTGTGGAGCATTAAAGCAAATCAAAGGTGACAACATGACTTTAGTAGTTCAACAGGCTCAATTAAAGATTAGTTACCAATTTGGCAATGAGAGCCAAAAAAGCCGCTGGGACAGGCACAGATGTTGGGCTTCACACACGCTCCTCCATTCAGACAGACCGGGTTACACAGAGCTGCAGGTCACCCATGGGGTAGAAAACAACCGTTAGCTTTACTCTCTGGCTGTGAGGTGTATTCTGATTGGATGATCCGGTTTCTGTCTCTACCTGAGCTGCATGTTGGTCCGTTCCAGCCTGGTTTACATCTGCATACATCTGGAGAAACGCACTCGCCTCCGTTTTCACAGTGCCTGTTACACACCACTGGGAGAAAAATAAGGAATGGATACAGCATATGGCTAATAAACTGAATTCCTTGTCTGTCGTGATTAATAAAAACCACACTGCTGAACGGAGGACATTTTAAGAATAGCTTTGTCTCTCCACTTTCAGTTTGTGAAAAGAATATCTACTATAAAATATATAAAGCAGTGCTCTTCACATTTGATAAAAGGTGTAAAAAGTCCAACAGAATCAAGGATAATATCCTGTTTTTTTCTCTCTTCATCTCAGTCTAAAGAAATAATCATGGAAATGTGGACTGAAACCATTTCTGTGCTGATTTGGTCACTTTTTACATGATTTTCCTGCTTAAAGATCCAATGATGATCAATCGCTAATATTCTGGCAGTGAACTGTTATATTATGTATTCTCACAAGGTTTCCAAGCATATGGAAGAGAAATAGCCAACAGCATCACAGATCCTTTATTGTAATTTACAGTGGGGATCACAAAGTTTTCTAAAATTGAACTCAGTTTGTTCACGAATACATCTCACTAAGTAATAGCCAATTATATATGATTGTTGTTGAGCTCAGCCAATTAGGAAGCAGCCTGAAGTGACCCAAATCTGATATTTTTTTTGCTCATATGCAACTTGTTTCTGATCTGTTCATGACAGTCTGAAGAACACAGATCCACTTTGTTCCAATGAGCCTAAGGCCACTTGGCTATGTGGACCTAAATCCGATACAAATCCTCATTAATACTCAACAATGGCCACTGTTTTGTGTCTTGCAACGCAGATGCGAGGAGAAAAACAACAACCATGATGGATGATAATGCGGAGAGCAGTTTTTATTTTCAACTTTATTAAAAAGATTGTGTTAATGTTAATGCACTGGCTGAGGTTGGGAAAGAAATGAAAGATTGCAAGATGCGCTCCAGCTCTACCATCCATGTTTACTTCCGTAGACATGGAGCATGCTTGCTTGTGACGTCATTGCGTCTGCAACTGCGCATGCGGGACACTTAAGCTGAGTGAAAGCAGTTCACAAAGGAGATCACATACAAGTCGCATTTTTTCTGGAAATGTGAAAAAACCACATAAAATAATCGGATTTCACAAAAAAATCGGAATTGAGCATCAAGGCATGCAGTATGAACGTAGCCATTTAGACTCCGACCTCGTCTCCCACACCTGGTCCATACCAGCCTTGGTTCCTATAACTGATCAAATTAAATTAATGTAAAAGGAGGTTTTTGTGGTATTGATGAATGTGGCATTTGTGATTTTTTTTTTTTATAAACCAAATGAAATTCTCACCATGGGAGTTCTTCACTAAATAAACATGCGGATATTAAAGGTTTGGTTGTGAATTTGTGTGTGGTTATACTGATTTATTGATTTAAATTTTCATTCATGACAATTATTATTAGATCCCTTAACACATAAAAGCACAACAGGAGGAGAAAATATCTAATTTTAAACCTTCTACCAATGCAACCAAATATGCCCACAAATAAAACAAAAGCAAATTTCCTTCAAATTAGGTAGCAAACTAAGGGATATGTTATCCCTTTAGTTCCTAGTTTATCATTTAATGCAGTATTTTGACAAAGCTAGGCTTAAATAAAAGAAGTGGTGCTTGAAAATTAGATGAAAGTCACAACTAAACCATTTCTAAACAGACCCAGATGGGATCTTATCCAGGAATCACAGGTTTCAGCTGTTCGCTTCAAATGTTTTATCTTTGAGCTATAATTATAGTTATAGTTGTGCAAGTTATACAAAAAAACAATCAGGGTCCTAAATAAGCAGCCTGGGTAAAAACATTGTTAACAAAAAATAGGTGAAGTCAGTCTTACTGATTTCACATCTGGGCCCCACATATCCGTAGGCGCAGGTACAAAGGTTTCTGGCCAGACAAGTTCCTCCATGCTGACACGGCGGCTCGCAGCTCGCTGCACCACAAACACAAAAACACTCATCTGTAATTACTAAGCATTGTGTTTTGCCAGAAGGGTCGATTGGTCTCAGGATGAGTTCCAATTACCTTCCTCGCAGGAGGGGCCGCTGTAGCCCACAGGACATTCACACACATTGGGTTTCACACACCTCCCCTGGTTCTGGCAGTCGGGTCGACACACAGCTGAGAGGCAGTTTGAACAGACAAAATCAGAGGCTGAGATAAGTGGAACGACTCGTGAGAGGTGGAGATGTGTTAATCAACTTGTCTCCCAGCCCTGATAAACAGTGAGAAGGCTTCTTCGCTCACACCTATGTGACAGCTGTATCCGGTGTATCCCTCTTTGCAGGTGCAGTTGTCGGGCAGAGAGCACTCCATGTTCCGCCCACACTGATATCTGCAAACAGCTGAAACCAAAACTCAATTTCTATAAATAAGCTGTAGGTTGAGAGAGAAAGGAGACTTACAGCATCATTCAAACACATTCAGAGCCATTAAAGTTTTTTACATTTGGTCCCGTTATGACCACAAACCTCAATAAATACCTTTCAACAAAAAATTTTGCATAATTGTGAAGCGAAAGGAAAAAGAACAAAGGATTTTAAATATATTAACAAAGATTGAAAGCATTTTTATTAAGCTCTTTTTTATTCTGGAAACCTTCAATAAAATCCAGCCTATAACAAGACTACTGTAAAGTTAACATTCCAGGAAAAACACCACACCCATATCTGTCAGGACAGGGCGGGCATTAATAAGAGAAGACTCAAAGACGATGGTGGTAACTATGGAGGAGCTGCAGAAAGATCCCCATGGTAAAACACAGTGGTGGCAGCATCATACCAGGGGGCCTAAGGGCCTAATTGAGCTAATAAAGGGAGAAAAAATATTGACCACAAGGCACTAAATGCTGCAATATTTAGATTACCGGTAGATCAACAAAAATGTTCCATACCTTAATTTTCCTTCCACCTCACAATTACAAACTACTTTGTGTTGGTTTTCCACCTTAAATCTCAACAAAACGCATCAATGTTTGATCCGGTGACAGAATAAGAATGAGCTCAAAAGTTATCGATACTGTGCTTTACCTTTACCAGCTTCCTAATGAAATTGACAATTTTAAGACTGGAATATAGGTAGGCAAAGTCAACAAAACAAAACTAAAACATTTCCAGGAGGGATAGAGTTTGGAATCAGCTACCAAACAATACCTAAATAGGCAAAATCTTTTTGTTTTCTGCTTTGAACATCTTGACTTTGAGCTCTCTTTTTAAAGACTCACTACCTTTACATATGACTCCATCCCCTGTGTAGCCATGTGGGCAGCGTCCACACCTGAAGGATCCTGAGCCTGTTGGCTCACAGGGAACACCAGGAAAGCAGGGAGAGTCATCGCAGGTCACCTGATGGCTGTTTAACCTCCCGCTGACCCTGCTCTGCTGCACTTTTTGGACAGTAGAGCCAAACATTTGAGCTGCTGTTTTGTTCTCAGCAGATCCAGTTGGTTGTTGGTCTTTGAAAGAAGCTCTCCTTAAGGTGGACTTCTCTGGTCTCCGCCTTCTGTCGGACGGTTGGCTGTGTGAGGCAGAAGATGAAGGAGAAGAAGAGATGGAGGTCCTTTCATGGGTGGAATTAGATGCAGGGTTGCGAGTCCAACTATTTGCTCCACTGATGAGTATATCATGACCTGTAAGACACTGAAAGTTAGAGGTCATGACTTCAAAAGAACAAACTGAAAAAAGGCCTTTAATTATTCAAACAAAACCCCAGATGTATTTAACCAGCTCAAATGTTTGGCTAAACTAATGTTCTAAACCATGATACAACCTCCACCATGCTTTAAAGTAGCCTGTAGTCATTGTTAAACTTCTTGGTAAAATTTTGAATTTCCTTTTATAACCGATTTTAAGTTCAAAAGTTGTGTCTGCACTTTCTGTTGTTTAGTAGACCTGATGTAACAAGTGACTTTCTCTGTTGTGAGATCAATAAAGTTCAATCTTATCTTATCTTTTCCTTTCTCCCTAATTTCTCAAAATTAACCACCAAACAACAACCCTAACGATCAGATCTGAAGCATATAATCTAAAGGATCATTCATTTCTTAGGTCCTGGTTTTTTGCTTGTGTTTTTGTTTTCTCTTCTGAGAACTTTACTTGTCTTTTAAATGAGGCATATTTTTTTTATAGGTTTAATGAAAATATGTTTTAAAAACAGCTGACGTCTAAATGACATCTTCAATAGGTCAAAAGAAACCAGGGTTGCTATTGATCTACAACAGTTAAAAGGTTCATAGAAAACCCAAACAGATAAAAGATAAACTTTTCAAATTTTGATCAAAGTTAAATTTCATTAAAGTGCTTCAATTCTCACCAGTTTTAGTGCACATTTGTCCGTTTCCTTGGAGACCAGGTGGACACGGTCCACAGGCGAAACCAGCGGATATATGAATGGTTTCAAAGCACAGAACTCCTGGGTAACATGGCGCCCTGCTGCACGGTGAAGGACCCGATGGTTTGGGTCTCTGAGAAATCTGTGGTATTCTCTCTGGTGTCACATCTGGAGAACCTGTGATATTTTCCTCTGTAGAAAGGCATAAATTACAGAACACTGACTCAAGAACACAAGTTTTGGATAAAAGATTTGGGGCCTGATCTTCAAAGATTTGCAATAAATTAATTAAAAGTGGATATTTTTTATTTTTTTTTTTTTGCACAGCGGGTGTGCTGTGGCGGATCTACAAAGATGGTTGCACAAATGTTAATATGTGCAAACCTTTTTGATTCCATCCACAAAATAAGGAAGTTTGCTACAGCCAGGGTGGAGTGATAGTAAAAAAAAAGATGGTTGTATTAATGATAAAAAAATCATAAAAAAAATAATAATTCTAATACATAATAATATTTATAGATCAATTAATATATCTGTCTATAAACAAAAGCAAACAAATAGGATGATGTAAACAACTATAGTGAAATAATAAAATGAAATATAAGATATGCAACTGTTTTCTTTGTCTATAAGCCCCCTGCCCTAAGTTTGATGGAGCAAACATATAAAACTAAACAGAGTTTTGTGACTTGAGAGATAAAAATCTCAGATGTGATGAGTAGGAGATGCTCATTTAATTTCATAAACATTAATTTAACTAATCTAATTTTTTTATTTTTATTTCTTAATATTATTCTACTATTGTAATTTCACATTTATAAATAAGCACAGAATCTCTCGCCATCCTCTGCCTTTGTTCCAATGAATCATTTGAGGCAACAATGAAAGATATTTTTGTGTCATTTTGCACATGACTTTCAGAAGTACTAAGCTGATGTAAAAACTAGAGTTGAGTATTAGATTTGGAAAATTGCTTTGCTCATGTTAAATGTTTATATTTGCATATCCTCCACCCAATTATTTGCATGGTTTGGTCATCACTGTATGGTCTGTATACACGTTTGCATACGGTGTCTACTGAATGGAAATCATGTTGCACCATCTTTGGAGATTAGCTCTGCTCATTCAAACATGTTTGTACTGGTTTAAAGACACGCAGACCTTCTGAAGATCAGGCCCTACGTTTTAATGTCAGACTGGTCGTATTTAACAAATAAAACTGTATTGTCATGCTTACCTTTGCAGGTTTTGCCATCACCACTGTATCCAGGTGGACAGGATCCACAGATGAAAGAGCCCAGTGTGTTGCTGCAGCTCACTGCAGGGAAGCACGGCTGCAGGAGGCACTCATCTATATCTTCTCTACACGTCCGTCCTGGCAACACATGAAACATTTGGAAAACAAACCGTGCATTTACCAATGTCCTAAAACCAAGACAGATTAAATTTATACCCACTTTTACAAACATGAACATTTATTTTCATGTAAAACTGCTCATCTAACATAAAAATATGTTTTTTTGTAAATTAAAGTACAAGACTGAATAAAAGCTCTACAAGTAGCATGATGATTGATTTATGGTCCTAAAAATAATGGATCAATGTGAGAGAAAATTTACATAAATGTATTTTACTTGTAAAGCTGCTGGGGTGACAGTGGCGTCGGGTGTAGGAGTTTGCCCTGATTGGCGGTTCAAGCCCCAGCTCCGGCTTTCAGTGTCGTTGTGTCCTTGGGCAAGACACTTCACCTGAATTGTCTACTGATGGTGGTCAGAGGGCCCGGTGGAGCCAGTGTACGGCAGCCCCACTTCTGTCAGTGAGCCCAGGGGCAGCTGTGGCTACAATGTAGCTTGCCACCATCAGTGTGTGAGTGAATGGGTGAATGACTGCATGTAGTGTAAAGCGCTTTGGTCCTGTCTCCTGACTTGAAAAAGAGCTATATAAGTACAGGCCATTTTCAATTAAAATACAAATGTAGAAATAAAAAAAATGTTGGATGTTTTGAAGGACTGACACATTAGGCTAGGACAGACTTTGATCTTTGGGTATCTATGGGAGGTGTTAATTTTGTGTTCTAGATGATTGTTGTTGTTTTTCAAAATGTAAAATATTTTCTATAAAATTAATCCAGTTTTTCAATTACTTCAACCATTTTCCATCATTTAATGACATTTGGATGTATTTCAATTACAGTAGAAAATAAACAAATGGAAAACAGCTTCAAAGTCCCATCACTGCCAAATATAAAGAACAATTAGAGCAGAACTACTGATTGAGAAACACCCAGCTCCTCCTACCCGTCATCCCAGGCGGACAGATGCAAGAAAAAGAGTTGGGTCCGTCGATACAGCGGCCCAGTCTGCAGGGGTTCGGTCTACAGTCGTCTATGTCCACCTCACACCTCCGTCCTGTGAACCCATCAGGACAAACACAGATGTATTCCCCACTTCCAATGGGGAAATTCCTATTGGTGATGCAGGACGCCATGTTCAGACAATCGCAAAAGTGCACAGAAACCTAAAGACAAAATAAAGCTATTAGAGTCTGTGTGCTTCATCTTTCTGCTTCTGGACTCCATTTTACACCTGTCTTTCAGATATAGACTGGCTCTCAGTAATAAAAGAAAGGAAAAAACAGATAAAATGAAAAAAAGTCTATAAATTGACAAAAATAAATTTATATTATCATACTGTAAATAAAATAAAATAAAATCTAACAACTTTTGTGCAAGTAATATAGATATGAAAGCATATAAAATCACTTCTGATATTTTACATTGTAACACATCTTCTTTTCCTTAAGACCAGACAGAACATTAACAAAATTACAAAGAATTTTAAATATGAATTAATTCCACAATCTTTTAAAAAGAAATACTGGTTATAAAATCTCATACAAATGTAAACTATTTATCACATGTATTGATAGAATGAGATAAGAACTTTCTGGAAAAACTTTTTATCAAACAAGAAATTAAAGAAAAAGGTTAATAAAAAAAGAGAAATTAACGGGATAAAGCATATGATTTATGTAATTCTTAACTCTGCCCTTAGTATTTTAATAATTGTAGGATTTACTCAACATTTTTAAATATCAGCTGTAATCGATATGGAGTTAAAATATATACTATTATCCCCCTCTAGTGGTAGGAAGTATTAACATCATGGCAGAAAAAAGGAATTTGACATCAGTTACACCTGAACAATAAATTAAAGTTGTTCTTTCAGTTCATCTTCAAAAACTATAAGATAAGTCTTCCACTGAGATACTTTAACATAGATCACAGTTTAAAACTCTTAATAGCAGCATTTGACCACATAGAAAAGGTCAAAATGAAAAAAAAAAAACTGTTTAAAAAGCTGTAATATTTACTTCCAACATTTTTGTCTCCTTTTTCTACTTGAATTTTTAAACCTCTCCAAGCCTGCAGGTATTCAAAGCCAGGAAATAAAATTTACTCTTTAATCGACTGCAGGACGAACTCACCTGGACAGAGGCGGTGGTCTTAGCACTGCAGGCATCAGTCATAGTAAAATGAAAAGACTGGGTGCCCTTGGGCTCAGAGGTTGCCTTCCACATCAGCAGTCCAGCTGAAGTGAGCGAAGCGCCTTTGGGAGCTGAAACCAGGCTGAAAAGAACTGGTGAGCCTTCAGGGTCCTGAGCTTGCAGCTGGTAAAGGAAATTCTCCCCCTGGAAGGAGCGAAGAGGAATCTGCGGTGGCTGGAACGATGGAGGCTCATTGTCTGAAAGCATACAACACAGAAGAAGAAGGAATGAAGCAGATTATCTGTAGAGAAAAAACATGACTCACACAACAACTTTATGGAAATATGGGAGGACAGCTCAGATGTGGAAGATGCCCTAAACAAAACAAAACAAAACAACTATGGTTGGTCCTTTTTAAGAACTGTTATTTTACTATATGTCAAATGTTCATCAAACTAATATCTAATTTAAAAAGAGGTTAAATCCAATCAAACTGCCATCTGAAGATTATCCATTAATTCCAGTGAGGTTCTTTCTACACATTTTGTCATGTTCTCTCTACATAGAAGAATCCTGTCTAACCTAGTTTAAGCTTCAGAGGTGAAGTTGGCAGAAAAGTGTAACAATGAGGTCTGCAGCCTTAAAATCAGACCTGAAGCAAAGACCTGACTTCAATGAGCTCTGAGCTGCTGACAAATCATCCAAACTGCCTCCAGCGAGCAGCAGCCATCTTAAGGAGGACAGGACTGAGCTGAGAGGTGTTTAGAGGTCTCAGTGGGAGAATGAATTAATAAATCTTTGGTCTAAAACATGATGCATTTCCCACATGGTTTCCTTCTTTGTTTTCATTAAAACTCCTCAACAAAAAGCCTTCGATATCTTGTATGTGCTGTTTTGATTTTCATTTTATAGACAGAAAATTATTTTTAACTTCATAAAAATCTACTTAAAAAAAAAAAAAAAAAACAGCAGATTGTGAGACAATGAGCTCCATTGTCTCTCATTAATTAATGTCATAATCTCTACCGTTTAGCATTCTCTGGTTCCAATTACAGCTATTCTGTAACCTGGCTCCATTCTTGCAGCTAAATTAATCAGATCTTAACTTTGCTCCAGAAACAGGTGATTTTTGGTAATTAGTGAGGTCATTCAAAGTGAAACTCAGGAGGTAAAAATAATTTTCTTGTACACACTCTCAGCTTTGGACCATGTGTGTTTGGACAGATCTGGACGACACGTGAAGCACAGACTGCTGGGGCTGGACTCCCCTTCACTGTAGCACAACCCCCCGATGACGCAGGTCTTCTCCTGGAGGAAAGAGGAACACATACATCATTACAATTATTTCATTTCATGAAGTCAGCACAAGAGCATTTTAGGTTGTCATCATTTCAGTTATGGCCTCCGTGTGATTATGTTCCTGAGGAAACGTTCATATCACCAAAACTGTCCACAACATTAAATATGCTTATCCTGTCTGGAGAGTTTTTACAATGTCACTACCCACATAACTAAAAGTGAAACCAGACAAGTCAATATTTTCTACATTAGTAAAACTGTTGCTAAGTGATGTAAATATTTCTTCAGAAATCTGATGGACGTCGACATGTTATACTAACAACTTTTACAAACTGTAATTAGAAATTAAGTCAGTGTTTTAGCGTATTTCTTTTGAAAATAATTATTTATTTATATAGACCCCATTCCCCGAGGTGAATCCACTGGAGTTTGTTACTCCCTACCAACTGTGCATATATTTATAATATATTTGTTGCTCACTATTGTGAAAGGGAAAAAAATTACCATTTGAGAACTATCTAATTGTAGCTACTGATGTATGTTTGGGCTCTTTGACCTGCTGGAAGGTGAAGCCTTCTTCCAAGATTGCTCTATAATCAGACCAATTCATCTTCCTACAAAGTCAGAACAATGGCCTTAATCCTTACAAAGAGAAGGATCCCCATAGAATGATGCTGCCACCACTGTGTGTTTAGGGTGATGGACAGTGTCAGTTTTTGACTCAATCTGACCAGCACACCCTCTATCGCTCAATGATACTCTCTACTGATTAAGTTGTTGCAAACTGCAGCCATTACCTTGCATTGCTTTCTTTTAAGAATAATCTTTCTCTTACCACTTTCTTCATTTAGGGCAGATTTTTGCAGAGCTGTGGAACTCTGCAGCTTCTTCAGAGACGCTCTGTTTCTTTAATGCTCATCTGACTGATATTGTCTTGTTAGGGTTGCAGTTGTGCTACATTCTTTCATTTTAGATAAATCAATCTTCTGTAAGATGTTAAAGGTTGGAGAAGGTGATCTTTTAATAATCCAGCCTTGTTTCAAACCTCTCCAAAGCCTTTCTTCCTGACTCGTTTGCTGCGATCTTTGGTCTTCGTGTTGTTGCTTGTTTACAAATGTCCTCTAAAAAAAACATCCATGGCCATCTCAAAAAAGCACAAATATTTATTTTCAAATATGTGATGTTACTTGCTAAGTGGTAAACTAGATTCTACTCAGGGTTATCAGAATAGAGGGGTCCCTGAACTGTAGATCTAAAACATGACTTGGATGGCAGGTGCAGGTGATTCAACCATGGGCGTAGGTTTGCATAGGGACCATAGGGACATGTCCCTGCCAAAATTTTGGACCGACCTATTTGTCCCTACCAATAATTCGATATGAACAACAACATATTTATATAACATGTTTAGAATTTACAATTCAGCGTGGTGGATCACACACAGCCATTGTGTGTGATCACAGCCAATTCTTTTTCTCTCGCAGCTCCGCAGCTCAGTAGCTGCTGCTGCCGCTCCGTCTGAGTGCTGCCTGGTCTTTCCTGTCCGTTAAATCAGTAACTGTGCTGTCTAACTCCACTCTCATTGGTTGTTCTGCCTCAAGTCCCGCCTTCTCTCTTCCTGATTGGCTGTTTTCTAGTCCGTATGCGTGTGTCCGTGCTTGGAGCACGAAATTAGAATTTCATTCACGCTGATTCGTAGGCCGACTGAAAAAGAAAATGTGACGGTTTCCATTTTAACAATAATTCACTGCAATTACTGTTTTCATTTTATGACGACCCTTTGAGGCAGTTCAGCTATAAAAAGCAGGTGTTATTTCTTTTATAGAGTATAACCACATGAGATGGCGCATTAACATCTGATATTTTTTGTTTAAAAAGCATAATTATGTTTTAACTTATTTTGAATATTATTACATTACAGACAAGATTGTGTTATATTTTATTTTAATAATTGTTAAAAGTGATTTTATGTTGGAATAAATTTTGTCCCATTCTTAATTTTGTGTTTTGTAGATGATGCCACTAAATGTAAATACAGTAAATATATTTACAATCCCTTGAATGTCTTATTTTGCATTGTTCCATGATACAGAGAGAGCATTTAAAAAACCTGTTCACCTGTTTACCTTTGCACAATTATATATCTTCAAAAGAAAATACAGGATAAATCCGCATATAACGGGCATATTTAGACTATTATTGGTTAAATGGGCACATATTTACCTACTGTCTTAGTCACTGGTAAGTTTAAATGCAAACCTTTTCAAAGTGGAAAAAAAATCCTAATTCCACATTAATCAGAGCCGATGATGCTTCAAACATTGATAAACAGCATCTAGTGTGTGTAGTGCTTATGAGATTAGTATAAATTTAGCAAGAAATGCTGCTTTTCTCTTTAAACAAAATGCACCCTGATGCTCATGTCAAGCATGAAAAGCATGCATGCATATTTTTGCATAGGTAAAATGACATCAATGAAACTTAGGTCCAATAGTGTCCCTACCAAAGTGGAAATCAAACCTACGCCCTTGGATTCAACCCTTAGTTTCTTAATTTATTCATGAGCACACAGCAAACTTTGAGTGCCTCCAACTTTATGCCTGATGTCCAGAGATCCAGATCCGTTATGCTGTATCCTCAGAAACCCTCCATCACAGACCAAAACAGATTAAGAAGATTAAAGGTGCAGCTGGTGATGTGTCACAGCTAAAGGATTAAGAGGAAAGATGTCTCACCCTGAGGGCACAGATGATTTCTGTGTCACGGCTGCAGGTCTGACAAGCTCCGTCATACAGAGTCAGGATCTTTGCGTTGCTGTAGCTGTAGCCATCATTTGAAACCTGCCATCAGCAGAAGTTTGATTACTGGAAAAAGAGTTTAAGCCCCCAAATAACCAAAAACACACAACGACTCCTAGATTTAGAGAGTCTGAGAATATAGGTAGCTCTCAAAGGGCTTTTCCTAAAGACACATTACTGCTGCATTTATAAAAAACAACTACAAACATATAAGCTGATGATTTACCAAGATATTTTAATCAGTGTTCTTCAGTTGTGACTAACTTTGATCTGCCAGCGAGTCACGGCCCTGTTTGTCACCGTCTGCGGGCTCGCGTCTGCAGGAACCCTGCTGTCCTCCAGGGGGAGCCGGCACTCAAGACCTGTTTCATTTAGGAAAGTAGCCTGAACAAAGTGAGGAGCAGCCATGGCCCACTCCCCATCTTCAAACTAGGGAAGTGTTTAGGCAGAGAAAGAGGAAAATAAGAATAGATTGAAAAAAAAGATTAAAATTGCATCACTGGTCCTTGTTTTTTCAGAAATAGGTGTTCCTTTTCCCTTTTTTTCTTATTAAATTCTCTTCTACAGGTGCTGGTCATAAAATTAGAATATCATGAAAAAGTAGATTGATTTCAGTAATTCCATTTAAAAAGTGAAACTTGTATATTATATTCATACATTACATACAAACTCATATATTTCAGATGTTTATTTTGTTTAATTTTGATGATTACAAATGACAACAAATGAAAATCTCAAATTCATCATATCAGAAAATTAGAATATTACTGAAGACCAATAAAAACAAAGGATTTATAGAAATGTTGGCCAACTGAAAAGTATGAACATGAAAAGTATGAGCATGTACAGCACTCAGTATTTAGTTGGGCCTCCTTTGGCCTGTATTACTGCAGCAATGCGGCGTGGCATGGAGTCGATCAGTCTGTGGCACTGCTCAGGTGTTATGATAGCCCAGGTTGCTCTAATAGTGGCTTTTAGCTCTTCTGAATTGTTGGGTCTGGTGTATTGCATCTTCTTCTTCACAATACCCCATAGATTTTCTATGGGGTTAAGGTCAGGAGAGTTTGCTGGCCAATTAAGAACAGGGATACCATGGTCCTTCAACCAGGTACTGGTAGCTTTGGCACTGTGTGCAGGTGCCAAGTCCTGTTGGAAAATGAAATCTGCATCTCCAAAAAGTTGGTCAGCTGCAGGAAGCATGAAGTGCTCTAAAACTTCCTGGTATGTGGCTGCGTTGACCCTGGACCTCAGAAAACACAATGGACCAACACCAGCAGATGACATGGCACCCCAAACCATCACTGACTGTGGAAACTTTACACTGGACTTCAAGCAACGTGGATGAAGTGCCTCTCTTCTTTTCCTCCAGACTCTGGGACCTTGATTTCCAAAGGAAATGCAAAATTTACTTTCATCAGAGAACATGACTTTGGACCACTCACCAGCAGTCCAGTCCTGTTTCTCTTTAGCCCAGGCAAGACGCTTCTGACGCTGTCTGTGGTTCAAGAGTGGCTTGACACAAGGAATGCGACAGCAGAAACCCATGTCTTTCATACGTCTGTGTGTGGTGGTTCTTGAAGCACTCACTCCAGCTGCAGTCCACTCTTTGTGAATCTCCCCCACATTTTTGAATGGGTTTTGTTTCACAATCCTCTCCAGGGTGCGGTTATCTCTCTTGCTTGTACACTTTTTTCGACCACATCTTTTCCTTCCCTTCGCCTCTCTATTAATGTGCTTGGACACTGAGCTCTGTGAACAGCCAGCCTCTTTAGCGATGACCTTTTGTGTCTTGCCCTCCTTGTGCAAGGTGTCGATGGTCGTCTTTTGGACAACTGTCAAGTCAGCAGTCTTCCCCATGATTGTGTAGCCTATAGAACTAGACTGAAAGACCATTTAAAGGCTTTTGCAGGTGGTTTGAGTTAATTAGCTGATTAGAGTGTGGCACCAGGGGCCATCAATTTTGAACCTTTTCACAATATTCTAATTTTCTGATATGATGAATTTGAGATTTTCATTTGTTGTCATTTGTAATCATCAAAATTAAACAAAATAAACATCTGAAATATATGAGTTTGTATGTAATGTATGAATATAATATACAAGTTTCACTTTTTAAATGGAATTACTGAAATCAATCTACTTTTTCATGATATTCTAATTTTATGACCAGCACCTGTATTTCCTTTAAAAAATGAACTATCTATTTTTTTTTTTTTCCAAACTTCAGTACTGAGGCACAAACTGTATTTACAGTACTGGCTGCTCACACTGAGCCTGGTTCTGCTGGAGGTTTCTTAATATTAAAAGGGAGTTTTTCCTCTCCACTGTTGCTATAAGCATGTTTGGTGTAAGAGATTGCCTTTGAGTCAATAAGTTGATGCAATCAACTGGTTTTCCTTAGATAGGAAGCTTTGAATCAGTTTGACTGTATGATCTGGTTGAATTGTCTCTGTAACATGCCTTAAGATGACTTGTTGTGAATTGGTCCTATAACTGAATTGAATTTAATTTACCCTGACTGTTCATTAGCTCTATAGGACATCTGTGCTTTGATTGCTAATTTTCCATGCCCGGAACCTTCAGTTATTTGTTACTAATCTCTTGCTTTGAACTTTTACTTTGGTCTGGTAAAGAATCCACCCCTCGTTTTTCAAAGATAAAAGTAAATAACTGAGGTTACTAGTTTCCTATGGCATGCCTACTTCATTGATTAAAGAGTTACTGTATTTTATTTAGCTATATTACCTAACCTATGCTGACACTTACGGTAATAAAGTTTATTTATTTATCAATTTATTTATGCTGGACTTTGTGAATTATGCATTTTTGTGGGGATTTTATAGAAAGCTAATATCTCACCAAGCATTTAAATTATTCTATCTGCAAGCGCAACAGGAAAACAAACCAAAGAGATAAACAAAGCAAAACACAAAGTACCTTTTCTTTAACAAACTCACACTTGAGCTGGCTGGAGTCCTTGAAACCCTGACCAAAGACCTGGATGAAGGAGCAGTCTTCTTCACGGATGTTACACAGACCCTCCTTCATCAACTTGGTAATCTCTGGAATCTGATCTTTACAACATATCAGCAAAAAGTCAACACAAACATTAATGGTTAAATGTTAATGCTAAATGTTAAAATATGTTTTCTTTTTTGTTGAATCTGTTGGATGTTTTACCAGTCAGCTCGCTGCAGTCGTGTGAACCGAATCCAGGGAAGCAGACACACCCCCACTCGGAGCACTGGCCGTTCCCGTTGCACATGTTCGGACACCTCAGGATGGACACAGCATCTGAGTGCTTCTCCCATCTCTTTCCCTCCTCCACTAACTTTCGCTCGCACTCGTTCTCCAGCAGCGCTAAGGTCGCATTCAGCCAGGATGGCTCGTCTTTCAGCTGCAAGTCTGCGACACACATGGCCACAGCATGGCTGATTATTGGCTCCCCTAACAGGTGTCTGCAGCCCACAGCGATGCTTGAGTTTACCACAGTCTGTTCACACTGAGCCTGAGCCTGCGACTGAGTTAGACCAGAGGGAGTCGGCCACTTTAAAGGAGCTTCTGGCTGAAAAGAGGATTCATGGTCTTCAGGGAAAAAGTACGAGAAGCTCCTGGGGTGAGACGGAGAGCTTTGGTGCAGAGAAGTGGGTGTGTAAGGATTTGTTTTCTTGATTCGGGGGTTTTGTAGCTGAGCTGAAGATGCTCTGTCTGTGAATGCCCCTTGCATGTCAGTACTTTTACCTAACTTTCTGTAAGAGCGAGCTACAGCGAGCTGTTGTGTCTCATTTTCTTTTTGCAGCTTAATTGAACTGATATACTCTGCTGTGACATCCAGAGCTGGGATAAAACTCAGAAAATGGAGTCCATGACCGGAGCAGGTGGAGTCAGAGAAGATGTGAGAGGATCCGGATCCTTGGGTTGGTTTGAGGGGAACAGCTTGACAGCTGCAGTACCTGTGGGTGTTTGGTGTGTTCACACGGGCAGGCACAGAGTCAAACAAGCTGCCGCCTGCAGGGAGTCTGACAAAGACACAGAAAAAATCAAAGAGAAAGGTCCAAAGTTACAGCGTGCAGAAACATTTAAACATGTGTTTTAGTCATGCAGCCTAGCAAACTCTTACAGATTGATGTAAAAACTACTAGAATAGAAAGATTGTTTTCCTATTTTAGAAAGTATTCCACCACTAAAGATATATGACCATTCTTTCTGCTCTGTTTCTCTCTCATTGCAGGACATGTGTTTAGTTAATTGAGTCTGCAAAAAAACTGTGAGAACAAGTTGTAAGGCAGGTAACAGAGAAGCATAACACATTACAAGAAATTTGTTGTTTTTTCATCTTTTTGACCCTGAAAACAGTTATTTTAACATGTTAGATTTGGTAATGTTGGCATACTTGTATGTAAAGATTGTAACTTCAAAGAAATCAAGGTCAATGCTTTACAAAAGAGCAGAGATTAGTAACCTGCAGCAAAATTCTGAATTCTTAATTCAAATTGAAAAAGCTTCACGGATGGGGAGCAAAACGTCTTCAAACTTGGAAACCAAGTCCTGTGGATTGTTTTAAATTTTTCCAGAATGACTATGATCTGGATGACTGAGAACCTTGACCAGGATCTAGCATTATTATTCTTTAATGAAGATTTCAGTCCGGGGTTGAAATCTAATTGTAGCTTCAAAATTGCGGCTTGTAAAATATTTGGGGCTACATTGAAGCTAATTCAGTGTTTTTCTGTACAATATATATTAAGGGTATAACAATTGTCCATTGTGGTGGCATCAGCTGCCTTCTGTGGTGTGTTCATGCATTAGCTTATCTAAAGCTGAAAGGAAGGCGCTAGGTGAGCTGATTTGTAAGACCATCTCTGTGACCCCAGCCACAGTGCAAATGGCAGAAGATGGAAGTCAAAATAACATCTATTGGTGGTCTATTGGAGGTCTTTCCTAGATGCACTAAGAAGCGTTTTTGCAGATGCTTCCTCCAAGAAACTTTATAAATATCAGTGCTCCTAACAACCTTGACATGTTGTTTACCTCCATGCTGTTAGCTGTGCAGTTTTTCTGTTTTTTTCTTGTTCTATTTATGCATATTTATAGTTTTTCTACTACTACTGTACTGCTTAGAATATTAATAATAAATGCTTTCAACAAGACAAAATGTTTTATTCTAGTGACTTACAATAAGAGTTATAACAAGGACTGCATTTATAACAGGTTTTTTTTCAGAAATATTTTTATATTTATGATTTTATTGCAAGAGGGAGAAAGGAATGATAAAAATATAATAAATTAATTTCTAAAGAATTTTTAAACAGAGTGAAAAAAAAATCTGTGCTAGTTTTTATTCTAAGACTGCAGCTGTTTTTGAGCAGGACTCTTTATAAGATAATCATTTTAAGTTTAAAAATTGAAACTGGATTGATGGGCTGATTCAGTTCTGGTGAAAACCTTTAGACTGCAGCTGAATGGCTGAACTATTAGCAACCTAAAAGATTTGCAGCAGGAATTGAAACGTCACAAAATCGATCTACTAATATAGTAATTGTTTACTTGAAATAATAAATAGAAGATTAAACTCATTTGCAAATTTATACTTGGACTATTAGCTATCCAAAGTTCAGACACAGGTTAAAAAACAGGAGTACCTCACCTAACAGAAAGATATAGGTTAACTGTAATCAACTGGTTAAACTAGATTAGCTTTATCTTTAAATAAGTGTACAGTAATGATAAAACTCATAAGGTCTCTATCAATAAGGCTTTAACAGAGCCCCACTGACCTCCACTCAGATATAAAATCCTGCAGGTGCTCCAGGGTAGCGCCCCCTGCTGAGTGGAAGTCATTGTCGGCGCGTCCATCAAACGTCCCACACAGACCTTGGGTATGGTTCTGGTCTGAACCTGGGACCCTCACAGTCAGACTCATTCCCCAGTCGGAGACATCAGCGCGTATAAACGCTCCAGAGGAGAATGTGATCTACAAAGCGTCAGAGTAAAAAAAAAACTATATATTTTTTTAAATTTGGTTTTAGAAGGCATAAAACCTTTTACTGACTGTTTATCACTACATATTTTTACTTTAAACTATTCACGATTGAACATGGCTGCTGATGACTCACAGTGACTTTGCGTCCTTGGTAAGACTCACTGATCCGAAAGCTGCTTTGACTCGTATGTCCGCTTTTCACAGAGATATGAGGCTTCGTTTCACCCATCTCACCATCACACATATCAAAGGTGATAGCGTCGCCTTCGTCCCTCACCGCAAAGCCGCACACACAGGAGGCAGCGTGCACCAGGCTGCCACACTCCCACTGACGGACATGGACCTCAAAAGGTCGACGGTTACTCTTGTAGAGAACAAAGGTGCCTATTTGATAGTTATCATAGTACCTGAGAAAAAAACAATGGAAAACATCATTTCAGCTGCAGGTTCCAGGAACCTAATGGAATAATAATACAAACACTTATTTTTGTTATCATTATAATGATTATGCTAGAAAACAGCAATAGCTACCTGCCATCAAAGGTGATAATGTGGGGGTCTGTGAAGGAGTAGCAATATGCTGGTGGAACATCATTCACAGTTATCTGAAAAAAATAAAGTAATTTTATTTCCAACCTTAAAAGGTTAAATCTAATCAAGTCTGTCATCGTTAACATTGTATTCTATTGTTTTGTGCTTTTTTCTGCAAATTTGCAAAAAGCTACATGGCAGCAGTTTTGTTCAGGTTAAATAAAGTTTCAAATAAATAAAGCAGATAAATTTTAAACAATCTGCAAACTGATCCAAATTGAGATGCTAACCTGAACAGGGTCTGGTGAGTACCCATTCCAAAGAAAATTCTGTGTGACGATGGGTTTTACTGAGATGTGACTGGTCCTTTCCGTCTCCCTGACAAAGTCAGTGTTGGGGCTGAAGCGAATCAGATTCCGGCTACAGATCCCGTCGATGCAGGGGCCCTGGGTCAGATCCGCTTTACATGATGACAGAGATAAATCTGCATCCAACAAATCCTCATCTGTGATGAAAGCACTGAACGTTAGCGTGAAAAGCTGTAAAAGACTTTAAAGGCATAAATACAGCTTATGCCAGTACTGTCTGTTTGTCTTAGGAAAGAAGCTTTAGCATTTTGAAAGCAGGATAGTTCTATAGTTCTATAGTTTTTGCAGAAGTTTGCATCCTCTGGTGACAAGTTTAAAATGTTACTAGGGATGTACACAGGCAAATGATTTGGCCTTACTTATACTATGCCTCCTCATTTTTGTCAATATAACACAATGGTCATTTCATCACTGATCAGAGTCCCAATTGGCCCCTTTTTCACTGGACACAAGTTTTAATTTCTAACTGTGTGTACCCTGTGATGGGGTTTTGAGGTGCTCCTGTCTTCAAAAACAGTTGTTCTCTTTCTAATGCATCAGTGACTAAAAGTAACCAGGTGAACAAGAGAGCACAAACCCAGTCAAATTGATTCAAAGTTTTCTATCTAAGGAAAACCAGTTGATTGCATCGACTCACTGACTGGAAGGCAATCCCTCAAATAAAGCCAGTACATTTATATTGATGGAAAAAGCCAAAGCATTTTTCAATTTCTTTTTGTTTTTAAATTCATCATGTCCGACTAATCCACATACATGTAAGTAGTCTTTCCTGGGTAAGATTGTACTTCACATAGAGGCCTCAAATAAGGCAGATCAGTACCTATCTTTATATTTTAGGTGGGAAAAAATAGCTTCATGAATTAGCAATATTTACTTGCCTAAAAAAGTTTAAGTTTGATCACTGTTTGGACAGTATACAAAGTTTACAGTGAGGTGGGTGGTGAGGCAGGAAAGAAAATCTGATAAGTTGAACACTGTAAGAGAACTGAAGCAAAAAGCGGCATCCTTTGGCTCACCAAATCCAGACAACAATTACTAAACTCTGTATTCATGGCTACCTGTTTCTACTGGGACTTTAACTACAACTATGTTTCTTTCGTCAGAAGAACATAATGATCTTCCCTATGGGAAGCTGCATTTGGATGAACCCTTCACCACAGGAATTATGATGAAAGAGTTGTGTGTGTTTGATGCTTTATGTCAGTGAAGCAGCCAGTTTTGGCAAAAATAAAAACACTAGAAATAGTCAGATTCTAACAAAGAATGATCTATATTCTATACTCTAGTTGTTGGTGTATTACCATGACTGCTTGTCACAAACTCCAGAGATAAAACACAGTCTTCTGTTGAAGAGAAGGAACCATCCAGACATGGGACAGGAATCGTACTCTCAAGCAGAAGCTCATACTGCCTTCCATCCTCAGATACTCGGCTCACTTCAGGTTTTAACTGCATAAAGATTGTTAACAGTCTTTAATACAAACTCATCAGCTATCAACACATAATTGATTTATCATATACATCAGCAGGAGATCTAAGAGTATATTTTATATATGTAACTCAATAATTCTATTGTTAAAAAAAATATTTATCAAGAGACATCATGAATTTACAATAAATGGCTCATACTCTTATTCCAGCGAAAAACTCCTGGCTTTCCACTGGAGTTCCCCAAATGTCTGGCGAGTCCAAAAAGAAACTGGTGCTGGAGCAATAAATCTGAAAGACAGAGAAAGAGACAGTCATTTTAGGGAATGTATTTCTTTTAACACTTTACTGTTATTAGCATATATATTAGCATAACCTTACATTTAAACCAAAAGCACATATTTTATGTTGTTTTTCTTTTTACTGAATAAATGACACTAGTAAAAGTGATATCATAAAATTCTTATAGGTATATGTTCAAAGTGCTTATTTTATCAACCATCTAAATTAACTCTGGTTAAAGCTAGCATAAAAAAATAAAAAAACATACAAATATAATGAAAGGAACAAGGGGTACCAACAATTTTGTCCATGTGCTTAATGTCAATTTGTTTATTCATATGAATTTGTATGAAAGCTTCAACAGTCTTTAAGGTTCCATTCATTCTGGTTAAAATCAGGTAGATATTTTTTTTTAAATTTACACCTTTTGCATGTTTTAATCCAAAAAAAATTGTTATGATCTTGGTGCTGATGATTGGCTTGATTACTCATTCTATTAACCTGTCTATCTCCGCCCAGCTCTCATTACCGTTCATCTGGTCCACCTGCTTCAGCTTCTATTTAACCAGCCTTCAACCAGTCATCAGAGCCAGATAATTCGAGCCTTTGGTTAGAGTTCTCTAACGTACCTGAGAGTTTCTGATTGCCTGATCCTGATCTATTCTGTCTCTGGACCTCTGAAGCCTGCCTGTCCCCGTTCTGATCTGTTTGCCTGACTTGTCCTCAGACTCCTTTTGGATTTCTGCCTGTGAACCAAACCTGGAACTGATTTCTGCCTTTGTCTTGGACTTCCTTTTGGTGCCTCTTTGGACCTCTGATCTCCTGGCTCTGACTCCTGGGGATGTCCTCGACAATGGCTTTGGTTTCGCCCTTTGGATTATCCTGCCTTCCTTCGTCTGCTCGGTTCTGTTCTCCTGTCTGTTCTCTGACCTCCGGGACATCAGCGTCTGGAATTCTCTGGGTGGCGCCAACCATGACTTTTTAGTAGCTGACCAGCTGGATCCAACCTCATCCTCTGGGCATGGACTGAACTTCAAGACCAGATTAGAGACTTACACATTCATAATCCTCCATTAATTTGATGTGGTCACTAACCTGTGTTCTCCTTCTGCAGAGGTGCCTTAGAGGCTGATCTCTGCTGTTCCGTTGTAAATGAAAGTTTTGTTAAACCTAACTGTCTTTCCGCCTTGAATACTGAGTCATTTTGTTCTTAGCCTGACAAATAAAGCAACTTTTCTCAGTGCCTCTTGCTTTACAGCAATTCTCCGAATAGCTGCTGAGTTTCCTGAACTGCTTTTGACATTGTGTTACAGTTTCAATAAGGCTGGCTTTTTAAGGCAAATGGAAGAGTCATCAGTTATTTGTCCATATCGTCATTACATTTCATTGTTACAGAATGTCATTCTTAACATATTCATTTTTATGACTTATTTGTGCAGCCTTTTTAATGGAAAAACCCAAGCCCATAATCACACCTTGTCCCCCAACCGCAGGTTGAAGCCATCCAGCTCGATAAGGGCAGAGGTGTGGATGGTGGTCTCCTGTCTGAGCTCCTCCTTTCTACCATCAGGTAAGAGGCGTGACCAGGCTAACACCCAGCCCAGGGAGCTGCTGGAGCTGCTGTTAAAGCTGCACTTCAGGTAGACTGTGTTACCTTTCACCTCTGAGACAATCACAGGCACAGTTTGAGAAGGGGGCAGTTTAGCTGAACGGAGAAAAAACACAATTAAGAGTTAGTATTTCAAAAAGCTATATCTTACCTTAAAGATATGTTATTGTTCTTAAATTTTGTTAGTTGACAGCGCTAAACATACCTTTTTGAAACGGGAAACAGTTAACTTCACTTAAAAATACTTAAAGATTAGCAGCTTTACACACAGGAGACATAGGAGATCTTTAAGGGATCATTCTTAGAATATTAACAGAGTGAATAGCTCTGGAACTGATTGGATTCAATAATAAATGTGTTAAACATTATTACTCCTAATCACTTATAATATGGGCCCGAAGCCTTTATTTTATAACCTTGCTTGCAATAAGCTACATAATAATGAGGAGAATCCTGGTGACGAGGCCTAGGAAATCAAAGACAGATGAGCCCATCAAGAGCAGCAGGGAACAGTGTGTTTTTTCATTCCTGTCATCCTGCTTACTCCTCTGCCTCCCAGATTTTTTTTAATATAATGAAACAAACGAGACATCTAGTGCAGAAACAAAAGCGAGGTTCTTACTTTTACATAATCCACCGAGGTTTACTTCTTCAGGACCACAGAGGGGAGCCGTTGTGGGTAACGTTTGCAACATCTCTGCAAAACAGAAATGTAAGAAAAGAAAATATTTGGTGATTTTTATGGGTTGTTTCCTTCTTGGAACCTTTGCCTCAATAAATTTAACCCGTGTTCTGGATTTAGGAAAATAGAAGAAAACTGTAGTAAGTGAAATTTTGATATAGATTACAATATACTTTTTAATTCATGTTCGATTCACTTATTTTGCTTTTTAACTTCACCAGCCCAATGTTTCATCCTGCCCCAGCCATGATTCTTAGGCCTCCTGGTTTAAATTGCACATTTGATTCATTTTAGTGAATACTGTGGCACAGAGCCTCTTTTTATTCACATAAATATGGTAAAAAAATCAACCAGCAATGCAAACGTATAGCTATAAAAACATGTGACAAGGTAGACTGGGACAAGTTATAATACATCTTTGTGATTGCTTGTTATACCTCCAAATAAAAGAGACAAACACAGGCTAAGTCAACAGTTTAACAAATTCTCAGTGGGAAAACCAAAAGGTAAACAAAGTGCAATTAGACAATTCTTTTGTCATACATTTTGCCATATCTAACAAACACAACAACTGCTACTCAACAGGTGTAATCAGTGTTGATTGGGTTTAAACTATTTGAAGATAACAGCAATTTGTGTTGCATTCATGAAAAAAAAAACAGATTGCAGCCTCTCAAGGTGTGACTGTTAATAAGAATTATTTATTTTTCCTATTACATTGAAGTTGTTTGTTTTGTGATTTAAACCTCATGAGCCAAATAAAAGCCGTAAACATCACTGTTACAGCACACCAATCCCACAACGGTTAAGATGCACGTGTGGGTGAAACTACCTGGTGTCAGTAGTGAAAGAGAACAAACTCTGCTTTCAATTCTTTTTTTTTATGAACCCACCAAATCCACATCAGGTATCCATTAGTGTTGCACCGATACCGATACCAGTATCGGACGGGGCCCCAATACTGCCCTAAAATGGTGGTATCGGCGAGTACCAACAAATAGGGCACCGATACCATTTTGAGAGCCAGAAGTTTCTTCAACTATTGTCACGTACTCCTGGAAGGCAATAAAAAGTTCTACTGGATTCACTTTGTATTAGATTTTTTCCTGCTTCACAAAGGTAGGCAGCAGCTTGACAAAGCCATGATGGCAATTATTTTACATTATTATGCTATCGGTATCGACCGATACTGCACAGCCAGGTATCAGGTATCGGTATCAGGGCCAAAAAATGGCATCGGCGCAACACTAGTATCCATCCTACCGCAGTGCAACTTTTGGAAAATATGCATTTATTTCACTGGATTTTACATGTTTATCAGTGCTGCCCATATATTTAGATGATTCTTTACTCATGCAAACTGCAAAAACATTTTTTAATATTAAAAACTGGAATGAGTATGCATAACAGATTTAATAAGACACAGGGATTCAAATAAATACTGCAAACCCAACTTTATCGACAAATATAAACTCTAAGATAACACATATAAATACATTATTACACATAATAACATTCAGAATTTTCTACACTGGAGTTTGGAAAGTTTAATTCAAATATTTTTATGGTATAATTTTGATCCCAGCACAATCTCCTGAGGGCTTCATTTAAGTATCACTTTCAGATTTTTACTTTCTGGACTGAGGCTAAGTATCCAAAAGAATCCATTTTCCACGTCCAAATACATAAAGTCTTCTGTAGCTCTGATTCTCAAAACAATGTAGAGTTTCAGTGATCCTGTTTGGTCACTATGAATTGATGAGCAAACATTGACTAACTGAACTAAAACAGTAAAATCTAACATTTGCTAAAGCATTCGAGATACACTATGGGTGTATGTATGTAGATATGGGGGGCTGGTGCATTGCTAACATTTACAAGCTGCTATGCACTAAGGTTTCTGCCATCTTGGCTGTGGATTGATCATGTAATCGATCATGAACCCCTCTACTTCTCCTCCTGTCCCTCTACAAAACTTGCAATTAGGTAGTAATGTGTTCTGATAGCCGCCAAAAGAGGATTCACTATAACACTCAGTGTGATATGAAACTCATGTTTACAAGTTTATTTTCCCATCCCAAAAAAAAATAAAAAAATCCCGCATGATTGCCACACACCAGATTTCTTGTACGGCACCTGGAAACTTTAAGTCTTGTAGTTAAAAAGAAAATGTGGAATTGAGGAAAATATACAAACAAAGTGTAATACAGAATGATAAAAATGGAAAAAGAGGAATTTGGGGAAAACAAATGGGAAGAAATAAGGCCCTACATTTACCTGAACAGAGATATGTTTGGTTCTATGATGATCTTGGATTTAATTAAAATGGGTGATTGTGGCTTTTTCTTTACAAGTGAATCCACAATTCTATAATCTGCTGGTTCAAATGGGACTGCTATCAGATTTTGTGATGCTGAATCTGGAAGTTACAGATGTAGCACCCCTTGTGGCCAAATGTTTAAAAGCTTTGAATAACCAAAACAATGTATTTACCTTCTGCACAGTATGCCATGCATCCTGGTGTGGGCTGCAGCAGGTAAACATAAAAATCTCCACAATTCCGGACGGAGACCGGGATGTGAAACATGCAGCAGTCTTTGCTGTTGCCTCCAAAGACTTTCCAGGTAGCGCAGGCTTTCAGCTGTCTTATCTCCAGTGGTCCAGGAAGGGTCTCACCATCATCCAGAGACAGCCACAGGGGAGCCTGGGTCCCACAGTGGTTCACCTGGATCACAGAGGTGTGCAAAAATACTTTTTAAAAATGCTGTTACAATGCAAAAATTTTAAGATACATCTTAGTGTTGATTACTTTTTCACATACTTGTGGGCAGCGTACATTGAAAGCATTTCAGAAAGGCTGAATTTATTCTAAGCTTTAGAAAAGTTAATGGATAGATAAAAAAAAACATGCAACATTAAGAGTCAAATAATTAACATATCGTTTTTCTTTTTTTATGTTTGTTTGGGGTCTAGAGGTTATATTACAGAAGATATTAAGTATAAATTATTACAAGATACAAAGTTTATTGACTTTATAAAACATCCCACCTAAAAAAAAGAGCTTTTACCTCCACACACTGTGTGGGCATACTGGCCCGCTTTTTAAGAATCTGAAACTGGTACCAGCCTGGAGAGAGGGAGTTGTCACAGATGATGTCATGCAGCGCTGACTTCTGCAATTCGCTGGAGCTGAATGTGGTGCTGCGGTAGGGATCCTGCAGGACCAGGTGGCCACCAGGCGCACACTCTGGAGGGAGCTCTGCAAATACAGCCAGAGACACTGGATGTTTACAAAGGAGGCAAGAATAGATGATAAAATACTTATGGAACACTTCTGACAGTACAAATATTGACTCTTGGATCCAAATGTCAAACTCATATGATGTTGCAGAGGTTTCATTTGGTTAGGTTTGACTATACAAACCTCCGGAAAATTTTTTGGGGGAAGAAAATGTAACTTTTTTTCCACAATGTGGCTGAATTAGACAACAGTTTTCTAATGCACACATATTCCGGTCTAAAATATTAAAACTGTTGTTTTTTAAGGCATTTTTTTTTTTTTTTGCAGCTCACAGACTGATACTCCAACTATCAAATGTTACATCTGGGACACTTGTGAAAGCTAATTCCATGGGGAAATAATAGGTCAGGACAGATGGGGTGAGCAGGACCGGTAAGAACTGAAAATTGTGTGATGCAAACTACAAAAAAATATCTTATAGAATTTTAATTTTTTTTCCATTAGTTGTCTAGGCTACTTGGCAGTTCCAGTCCAAGTTCTTGTACATGTCCCTCTGTGTTGAAGGGGGAGTTAGGTGTCCTGAACACTGTCCTGAACAGGGACTAAAGTCTATTTCACAATTAACAAGCTCCTGTCCCCAAAAAACTAAAGATCATGCATTTCAGTAATAAAGCTAAAATAAAAGATTCTCGCAGAGTTTAAATTTTAGAACTTATATGAAGTCAGCATTAAAATCCATGGAAAGACGATGTAAAGGGAACCTCCTGTCACACATATCCTGTTGTCTTGCTGTTGAAGTAACAGGAGTTAAGAGATGTTTTAGAAATGTTACAGTTTGAAGCTTTAATGTCAGGGAAAGTTAGTCAAATTGACCTATTTTAGAATATAACTCAAAGCAATGTTTTCTTAGTAGCATTAACAGATCACATGCTGTGGCTATGGTTCTTTTTATCTGTTCTCTGACATAGGAGCTGGCTTCTGTATGTCTGCTTCTGTCTCCATGAACCCCAGTCACTCACACTGAGCCTGGCTGCTGGAGGTTCCTTCCTGTTTAAATGGAGTTTTACTCTCCACTGTTGCTACAAGCATGCTTGGTGTGAGGGATTTTTGATGCAATCAGCTGGTTTTCTTTAGATAGAAATCTTTGAACCTATCTGACTGTATGATCTGGTTGAATTGCCTCTGTAAATTGACCTGAGATGACATTTAATGTGAACTGGCGCTATATAAATAAACTTAATTGAATCTGTTCCCCAGAAGAAAAACATTTTAAAAATCATTAAATCTAGAGCCTGTGTGGCTTCCTTAAGCCTGGTTATTGAAGGAACGTAAAAATAGTTTAATAACATCTTATTTTTCAAAGTCACTTAATATTGCTAAACAAATCAACTTCTTATTTTGCGCTTGGGTGAAAAGTTTTCAAGGTAAAGCCAAATTCCTGTCGGTCCTTTTTCCAAACTGTTGATAAGAAAGGACAGATGTCTCAGCTTCACATGAAACCTCCACTTCGGTCCTTACTAGCTAAAGAGGAAGTCTGAGAGCCCATTTCCTGGGAATTTATCTGACAACCATTGAGGCCAAACAAAAACAGATTGATCACAGATTGATGATGGGAGGCAGACAGTCATATATAATATAACATTGGAACAACATATGCAAAGTAATTCATTTCAATAGCAAATTTATATGATTTTAGATTATTATTAAAATGTTATACATGCTTTAATAAATCTTGGGGAATTTTAGAGAAACTATCTGACACATTGAGTAAACTGTAAAAGGTGAGCGCATATAGAATATCAACTTTTATTAGATTCTATCAGAGTTTTGCAGAAGTCAGAGCATACCTGTTTGAGCGTGCATGGCGTGAGGAAGTGAAAACACAGCCCAGAGAAAAAGATGTCTGAGGAGAAAGCGCAGCCTCATCATTCTGCACAGGGTCACCGCCGAACAGCGCGAGCGCAGAGCGCGAGCTCCGTGGTTGGATCTAAAGTCCTCCCCACGCGGCACAAGCTTGCCCTCTTTTCTGCCACAACTATAGTTCTCGATTCAAAACTGTTCCTTAAAATAATAAACTATTGATTTAAATCGTTTCTTTTCATAGAGAACAGAAGCTGTCCGATACATCCAGCTTCGGGACAGCAGCAGAGTTCAGCATCAGCGTTAGGAGGAGCAATCGCCTCCAAATGAGCCAAACATCCAATAAGTTCTTCACACATCTGTGGAGCACCTCTATGTGGCTTTAAAAAAAACATTACAGTAAAATAGCCTTATTGAATAAAATAACTAAGCTATTATATCATAAACATGCTTGAAAGAAAAAATTATTTTAAGAATTATTCAGGACATATTGTTATAAATAAAATACTGAGTATTGTCTAAATCAGTGGTCACCAACCTTTTTACAGTTGAGGGCTAATTCAGGGGCACTGAGTCACAGGAAGGGCTACCAATACTGACCTATGAATTGCAAGGGTCAATATTCACCTAAACTTCATACATTATATACATATCTTTAAATTTCTAATTTTCTTTTAGACATTTTCATTTTGAATTCTCTACAAATGCTTAAATGTCATATATGATTAAATGATGAAATGTTCTATAACTGATTAAAAAAAGAAGAGCAACAGAATATAATGAAATTTCAAATGTAGCTCACTGTTGAGTTGTTCTATTTTCAGAAGACTCTAAGGACCATGTTGGTGACCCCTGGTCTAAATAATTGGAAACATATAACTAGCATGTTTGAAAAAAAGATAAAAGTTATTAGTTGTAATTATTCACCATTCAATGAAATGTGTATTTTAAGCAAGTGAATGCAATAGTATAAAGTCTAAATCAATCAATCAATCTATCTATCTATCTATCTATCTATCTATCTATCTATCTATCTATCTATCTATCTATCTATCTATCTATCTATCTATCTATCTATCTATCTATCTATCATGAATACATATTTATATATACATATATCTAAGTGTGTGTGTATGTAAGTATGTATATATATATATATATATATATATATATATATATATATATATATATATATATATATATATATATATATATATATATATATAAAACTAAAACAGATAGATACCACGTATCAACTTGTACACTGTTTAACCATAAAAACACAACACCCGACTCACTTTTGTTTCATCAGTCACTACTGCAAACAACTTCAACATATGGTGCTTTGTTTTTAAAGGGAAACTGACCCAGCCTAACAGTTGGGTTTTGGACAGAACAAGAATGACATTATAGGAACTTTTTTCCAACTGTTTCACTTCTCAGTCTTTAAGCTCTGATTGCTTCTCGGTTTCCCAGTCAGAAGCTTTTAGAAGCATATTGTCGTTTGGAAATTATTTGTTCAGGTATCTGTGGGGAAATAATCTGACACAATTTACTGAACAAATGAATCAATGAAAAACTGAAAATAAGGTATTAAGGAATCTAAAGGAATTTTACTTAATCTTCACATAAAGTGAGAGATGTTCAAAGATGATCATTACAATGTGAACAATCACATCCTTAATGAAGTATTGAATTATTAAAAGAGATGCATTTTTTTTCTTCTAGGATGTTTCATTAGGCAAGACTTTTAGTGTGTTGTTTTTGATTTTCGTGGTGACTAAAACAATTAAGAATTTGCTATTTTAATAGGTCTGTTTTTTTAGAATACCCTGTGAGAAGACAGTTTTAAAAAGCTTGTGCAGATCTACAAGGGTTCCATTGGAAACTGACAGTTGTCTCTTCTCCCTGTATAGCATGACGGTTCCTGTCTGGCTTCATTTTAAATCTCAGTCTGAGAAGGGATACAAACTCTCCTTCATAAATCTCCTGAACCATCAGAGTGGAACGAGTCTGGAATATGCATTATGGGGGGAAAAAACTGTTTCTTTAACTCTCCTCACTTCTCTTTCTTACACAACCAGCAATCAGGAATCTATACAGAATGAGCGCACATGTATAAAATATATGATCAAGTTCAGTCCCAAGGAGCAAAGAATGGTCTAAATAAATGGAAATAATTGCTTCCATTAATGGTTTAATCTTGATCCAAGCTAATTTTGTCCAATTTTCTCTGATTACAATCAGACCCAGAAGCAAGAAAGGTGGCAGCTCCACGGTGTCCTCCAGGAAATGTGCCATCAGTGAAATGGGCCGCTGAATTCAAACCATGCATAATTACTTTAAGCTCCACCAAGATCAAAGATGATCAGTTGTGCAATCATTGGAGTAAAAGAGCAGAAAAATACATGTATTAAAATAGTACAAAGAAATAAGTTAAGCAGTTTTTCTTTTTTTTTTTTTCGGCTGCCACAGGAAATGCAAAAATTACATTTTTATTTTAAAATAATAAGAGGTAATACCTTAATTTGGCTACTGTGGTCTGCAGCCGAACTAAATTACAAAGTTGTTTTGTTTTTTTTTGCTTTAATAAGTTTAAGTTCCTGCCTTTGTTGCATAGCTTAGAAGATGTCTTAAAAAAATGTCAAGCTATGACACCTGAGCTGTAGATGATGTACTCAAACTGTGAACTAAAGATAAGAAATGGGAGATGACCTTTACTGCATTGAACCAGCGTGTCTAACTTTAACCAAGACATTTAATAAAACATCCAGACTCAATACTCTTAAAACAACTTAAGGGTACTTATTCACACAAAAGTATATGAAGTTTTGCTTATGAACATTTTGCTGTTTCAGAAAGCCATCATATATGTTTCCTCTTTCAGCTGAGTTCTGGCCTTTCTCCATGTGCAAAACACTGGAAACTCCCATGCTAAGCGATTTGTCATGGAGATTTTAATGGGTTTTAAATATGCCATAAAAACCTACTTGTGACTGCATAAACACCGACCATCCTCTGGTGCTTTTTATTTACACAGCCCAACATAAAGGTGCCACAATTCAAAGCAGCTCTGTTAGGTTGTTAGGGGGGCTGGTATTGCCAAATAGGACAGGTTTTTTAAAAATTATTTTTAGTGTGATTTATATTCTGTCCTGCTTTTTATCAGTGATAAACTGACAGAAGACGGTATCTGATGGCGGAAACCAAAGAATATATGCCTAAAAATATATGTAACGCACAGGCGTAACTTTCTGAAGGACTGGTGTGGACATGTCCCTCACCAACTTTGGCCTGGTAGGGACATGTCCACACCAATAATTTCAATACATAGACTTTGGCAATATGTGGGACAAATTTCTAAATTTGATTTGACTGCTTTTGAAGGAGGATAATCACTAATGTAGCTGAAAGGAAAAATATCCATTAATCAATCCACATTTTTCTGGATGGATGGACGAATGAAACTGAAATTGTGTGCATACTAGGGAGGCATGATATATTGCTGTTTGCATCGGAATCGGCTGTCATTCATAATTTTGTTAGGGATTGTATTTGAGTCAATGAGTCAATGCAATTAACTGGTTTTCCTTAGATAGAAAACTTTGTATCAATTTGACTGTATGATCTGGTTGAACTGTAAAGTGCCTTGAGATGACATGTGTTGTGAATTTGGCGCTATATAAATAAACTGAATTGAAAACTGAATTGAATTTTCTTATATATGCATTGACGTCTATCTATAGATATAAATGTTAGTGTATTTTGGGTATTTTGTGTTCACAACAATAGGAAAGCAATTAATTCAATAAATATATGTTTGAGCTCATTTTTGGAAAATAGAAACCCTATTGAAAGCGTTTGTGTGGAGTAAATGTAGGTCCATCAGCCACCACCCTAAAAGTGTCCCTACCAACTTCCATCACAAAGTTACACCTTTGGTGTAACATCCTAAAATAAATAGACATTTTTAGATATTCTAAGAAAATATATTTAAATGTATCCAGTAGTTTTCATTAATTTGCTCTGCATTCCTCCCAGCTTCTTTTTTTGGCATATCCTTAAACTAAAGACAGAATTACATTTTCTGAATTTTCTCTTCACTAAACAAAACTGTTAAACCACAATTATTCTTTATGGTCTTGCAAAACAGAAAGGAAACACATTTTCTAACACTCAAAGTTAACCAGGATCAGTGGAAAATCACAGGTTAACTCTTTTTGAATCCTGTAGTTGCTTTTGAGAAAGTGATCACAGTGGCTGTAAATGTCACCAAATGCAAAGACAGAACATTTACTACATATGCAAAAAGCCAAAGGTCAAGAGAAGCCCACAGAAGGAGATGCTCCTGGTTTTCACAGGGCCAAATAGGTCAGGTCCTTGAGAGACGCTTTCCTGGCTTCAGCTCTGATTTCCTGTTGTCTTCTCTTCTTTGTGTCTGCCTTTCAGGTCAACACGAAGCGAAAGCTGAAACAAGTTGTCTGGGCACAAGGTGCATGCAAATCAGTGTTTACTCACCAAAGTCGCCTCTGTCCTCGCTCACTCTAAGATGACAAATCTTTTAATCCTGCTGAAACATACAATTTAATTTGGAGTTTGTAATATTGAAACAATAAAATAATTTTAGTTGTACATAGAGGTACAAATACATAAGGCAATGCAAAAGTTGTAGGAAAAAAATATATTTTTTTTTAACTAACACAAGTTGAATTTTTGAACAAAACAAATAACTGTTAAAGGCACTTCAAACAAATGCATAAATGCATGTATATGTTGTACAGTCCATAAGCTGTGATAAAATTTCATAGAAAGCCAGATATTCTGCATTTATCACCAAAATATCTGGGCATACAGCAGATTCTGTCTTGATTTTTGTTTTAGGCCCAGTTAGTAAAAGCTTTTATGTTCAAGTTACACAGTAAACAGTGTCTTAGAGTTTATTGCACATATCTGGAAGAAACATTATCTCTGCAGTCCATGCCTCAGTCTGCATCCTAACACTTAGCTTAAACTGCTATTTTTCCAGGTCTTGGGCATTCCAAACTATAGACTAAATTAACTTAACCGTTTTTGGTCAGCACAGAAAATACAACTCTTGAAGGGTAACTCACCCAAAAATAATTTTTTTTGTTTTAGAGATAAACTGGGTCTAGTGGGCAGAACAAACTGCCTGCATCCGACTCAACAGACCCTGATCTGCTTTTTCCCCCTGTCATGATGACTGCATAGAGGTAAAGGATGTACAGGAAATTCCTTCAGAATAAACAGTGCAGCCAGCCAGGCATTGAACATAAATCTGTTGTTGCT